ATGTTTAGTAATATTCAATACTTTCGGGTTTCCATATGTGTTTCTGTAAGACCGATATTTTTATGTTTTAAAATTTAGTTAAGCTGATTTGGCAATATGTGGCCATCTGATATCGTAAGTCTAACTACTTTTGCCCTTTATATAAACAAAGCTTTTAATTGGCTATCTTTTAAATTTAAAAACAAACTCGACCGTTAGCTCAGTGGCAACAACGGTCCAAAAATAAGTATTTTCGTTCCAAATACATTCAGCAAAAGCACTCTTTGAATTTATTTTACTGTAAATGTTGTGTCGGAAGCAGAACTGGTCGCCATGCTGGTGGAGTGCTTTTGACTCTCAGTCATATAACACATGGCGAAAGATAAATCTATTAATTATCTATTAAATCAGAATTAAATAAAATGGACGATGTATAAAAGTCCTGTAAGTTTCATTTTTATAAATGTCCACACATTCCTCACTTGGATTTTTAAAGGAATATAAGAGATCGCGCAGTTTGTGATTCAAGTTTTAACTTTGAACTGTAGATAAATCTCTTTTAAGTTTAATGGGGAATGGTTTCTTTCGTGTCTTCATCACTTCCCTTCTTTATTTCTGTAATTTATTCATGTTTTACTTCTTATCGCCTCCCTTTTGTTCTCCCAAAATTCTTTCTCATAATTTCAACTTGAGACAACTTTCAAAAGTTTAAACTACGCTAGAAGAACTTCTAAGAGTTGCACTATTGTAGAAGGTCTTATAAAGTAGAACATTCTAGTGCCACCAATTTTATTCCCTTAATCTAAACCAAATATGCAAATGTAAAACTTAGGTTTATATAATACGAAAGTCAAGGAAAGAATGAAGTGTGAAATTTTTTCCATTTGATTTTGAAGTAACAGTATCACGTACTGGAGATTGGGCTTTTAAGAAATTCACAAAATTGGGATTAAAATGGATGTGGCTAAAAGGAGAGATTGGTATAAGATTACATTGCCCCAATGTCCAGATACAGGATGGAGAGGTAAATATTATAGGAAACAAACGCAGAAAACCAAACTAAATCTTTGTATTATACCATTATTGTTTTATAGAAACCAACAGTTGGTCAGAGCATGCGCAGAACTATTGACAGTAAGCCACAGTAGTGCCTGGTCCACACATAAAAGCTGCGAACTTTAATTTCAGATAATTATTAGTAGCATTTGTAAATTCTCTTTTTAGGTCAAGTATGGATACAAAATGCTTGAAATGGAGGCCATTGTGTAATTTATTTTCTTCACTACCACTTGTTTTTCGTGTATTACATAGCTCGAGTGATACGTGTTGACCCCGTGGGACACACGTGTTGTATCACCGGGCCTTTGCTTGAAGTTCTAAGCCCACTCCACAACTAGTTGTCTGGAAGGCGCCATCGCGTTCCATGTACGACCTTTCTGTCGAAATTTATAGTTTACGAAAACAAAGTTAATGACCAAATTAAGAGTCTAATACAATCACGAATTTTAAGAACAAAGAATCAAACCATATATATAAGGTAGATGTTTTTCTTCTCTTTTGTGAATATTGTTGCCTCATTCTCACGAAAGAGTTTTCACGAATGTTGAACGTAAGACACGTGTAGTAAGTGTAACTATCTTTCATCTCCAAATGCCTATTTCGCGGAACGACGTAATACAAAGTACGTTTTTTGGGTCGATGAACAGATGATAGGTAGACTTATCAGTAGATTCAGCAGTAAAACAGTATTGCTGAGAACCAATTTGACTACATTTTAGGCAAAGCTTCGTTGGAAGAAGACTCTATATGAAGTCTATTCAAGGGCTACTCGATTACGGTCTGCTAAGTTGGCAACTGCTCAAGTATCTCGTCCAGGGCAAGGACTGCTTGAGGTCAGGTAGCCCCTTAATGGTCTTGACTTTTTCGTATTATTACGGAAAATCAGATATTTCGTGGATGTAATAACAATGAAGACCAAAGAAAATAAGTAGCTATACGGTTAAGTACTTATCTAATTACCAACTCCATGACGAATTTTCACTCAACATCGCGGTTGAATAATTAGCATTCCTTTGTATTCAGAAGGTCAGCCCGGAGATCGGCTATCCTGACTGAGGAATACCGTGTTTTCTCCGTGTAGTCTGGTAAAAGTTTAGCTGGCTCCTTCATCGCCCTGATGATGGAGGCAATAGGACCTCTGAAACGTCGATAATCTTTTGCCAGACTAAGCAACGACACAATCTAGAAAACGTTCATCTTCAAACTCACCGCCATGAGGAGTTCCATGTTTATCCCAGTCTCTCCAGGCAATGACCGCCTCCTTTCTATTATTTCCATTTCATTTTTATTTAGCCACTGTATCGTTCAATACTAATTGTTTGATAAACCACAAATAATGTCGTACTGCCAGATTTGCTGTACATATGTGAATATTTAACAATTAAAGCAAAAGACATCATTAAAATACTGTCAATAGAAAAGAGATCGTTACGAACGGTTAAAGATTGCAGTAGCCTGCACCAAATGAATGATGAAGTCTCAGGAAAGAAACTAAATTATAGTCAGTAAAAAACATAGTAGGGACCAGATTACTTGCTGGCTGAGCTCACTAGTGCTGTGGATAGTTGTTGCACTCGGCACGGCCTGGTCGGTGCACGGAACGGCCGGGTAGAACGGGTAGAAAAAGCGTGGAGGTGCGCGCGCAGTGCTTATCACCTTGCCCTTCACCCCCGCGCCACGAACTCGCAGGTAATCTGGTTCTTACTATACACACGAAGTCAAATTCAGTTATATATACATCAGGAACGTCTTCGGATTCGTTATTCATCTGTGTTCCAACAGACCCTTTACGTGTAGAAGTGAATCAAGGGAGACATGGGTGAGAAGTGGTTGCTGAATTTTGCTTACGTAACATCTCGTTCATGCTCGTAAGGTTCTTTTACATGCCGTAAATCTACGATATGGGACCGCCGGGTTTACTTCCCCTCCGAAGGAACAACGGATTTTTACCAGCCCTAAAAGTCCATCGACCGAGGCCGGGTTTAAACCCGCAAACCTTGGATCCAGTGGCTAGTACCAAAGAGTACACCTCGTCATTCTTGTTGTGGGCTCGACGAGTGGTTCAGATGTGAGAAATAAAGAAAAAAATACACTTTTTGACTGTGAAATAATATATTAAGAAACTCTCATTTTGATAGGAAGAAAGTGTGGAAAGCTGTTTCTAACATTTTTATTACAGTAATATGAATTTAACTTGACTAGCTTTCGTTTTGGAAACATTCAAATTTCGGGATGTATAATTTATGACTTAGCATAACGTAATCTGAAACAAAAAGCAGCTGTAAATATTTATTGCTCACTAATGAAATTAGAACCGTAAAATTGTGCTTTCTAGACATGTAAGACTTGAGGTTCTCACAGCGGTGAGTATGAAGATTTCTGAATATTCATCGCCCTGATGACGGAGGCAGTATGACCTCTGAAACGTTGGTTAACATCGACCAGACTACACAGCGCAATAACCCAGAAGACAGAAATCTTCTTTCTAGACATGTTCAAATTAACAGCTGTAGCGTTGAAGGCGCATTGGTTTTTGAACATAATTAGACACATGTCATTCACAATACACACGAGATATTTTTCCGCAGGTCATATACATTTCTCTATATTAAGTTAGCTTTGGGCATACGCACTCACAGATGTGCCATTATTTCTCGGGTTACTTTATACAGAGCGTAGTGCCAGGGAGTTGGTCAATTATAAGACCGACAAGTTTTTGATATGACTTAATATAGAATAAATGATATACATTTAAGTATAATTGAGCTTTATTACAAAACAAGACTATTTTATACATTATTTTATTACAATTGGCTTAGCATATACAAAAATAAATAGACCATTGATGTTTAGAAATACGCTGTTATTATATATGTACATGTTAGAATTGCCTAGTCGTCAACTTACTGAACTATTATATTCAAAGTGAGCGATATAATGGATGCGTTACTTGAGTTAAAAATAAACTCGTAAATATCTGCACCTATTCTACCTTAATTATCATCATCATCATCATCACGTAGCCGTTAGAATATTTCGATCAGAAACTCCAATACTTCAAGACGTTTTTATTGACTTGCTGAAAGACGATACTTATTTAATTTAAAATTAGTCAAAAATTGATTATACGTTGTTTAAAAATGCATAAAAGAATATGCCTTATTTAGGAAATGTTGCCTATGACTAGCCAACGAAAATCAGCAATTACGGATTTTATTAGTGCATGACTGACATATTATGCGAATAAAATCTGCTGCAATTTAAAGCTTCTTTTAAACTAAGAGTTGATTACTTTTGAAGTCAAATTTCATTACGTCTGAATAAAAGTTACACAAGCATCTAAATATCACCCTTATTTTATCTGTTGCTATGATATTACCATCTGCAGAGATTTAAATTATTCCCATGTTTTGTTTCTACCTTTAAATCTATCACCACTGAAGATCATGTAGTAACGGTTTTTAGGTAAGGGACTACGAGTTTTTCTAACATTTATTTTCCGGGTTTCGGGTACTGATATCCAGACTGTGGTGAGAAGGAGGGTGTGCTAGGACGTTGGCCTCCTGGGATTCTGCCAAACCCTCCTGCACTAGGTTGTCTGCTGCCACCTGAAGGTCCAAACCCTCCGGAACCTATGAAGAAAGAAACACTTTAAAGAGGGAATAATTCAGACAGGCAATCTTTTTAAAGACAGTAGTAGTAGCTCAGTCTTTATGCCGTCGAATGATAGGAAACTTAACCAGAAAAATGATTAGAAGCTATTTACAAGATTACGTTTTCGCCTGATTTAGTATATGTTCACAGAACGTGCCTAAAATGTCTGAGAAAAAATTTGGGTTAAAAATTATCTGTTCCTCAAATGTGCCTAGAATGTCTGAGAAAAAAATTGGGTTAAAAATTATCTGTTCCTCAAAGGGGCGAGACTCTTTATGCTACCAGAATGCAGTGCTAAAATATAATATCAAGGTTACAATAGAGACAGGATGTATATGGACCTGTTATTTAAAATGGCTTAAAATACTCAGACTGGTAGGTAAATTTCGACCCAACATAATGTAAGGATGAAATTTGATTACATTCCATAGACATATCAAAGTAAAAGTAGCACCGACAAGGCCAGTTGTCTGTGGCTCTGAAACCGTCAACGTGTTTAAAGAAAGCATCAGCTGCTTACAGTTATTTTAATCGGGATGTTGCGTTGAAACGTAAAAACAACAAAGTCTGACAGTATAGGAGCCTACGTAATCCTCTACAGATTAGTAGTAATTATAAATACCGCCTGCCTTCATGTTTGTCTCTCTCTGCATGCCGGTCACAGAATCCCTTTAAGATTTATTTTGTTTTAAAAATATATAGCAGAATCTATTACATCAGTATGTTCTTAGCAGTGATATTGTGTATCCTGCTTGGAAATAAAAATCACCTTTTAAAATTATTTAGATAAATGTAGTGATAACAGTATTTTTCGCACCATGTAATCTGCAACCCTATAATTCTCGCGTAGTTCGCACAGACTGATGGTAATGTTGTGTAAAGTCTTATGCGTGTCCAATTGTGTCAGTTTCGCTATTAAGCAGAAGTAGGAGTAAGTGGGTACGGAATAAAATTATCTTTCTTCCCATTTTATCGAACAAACTTTGTTTCAATCAGCACGATTTAACGGCGAAATCAAATTACGCACCTCCGAATGCACCACCTGGTTGACGTCCGGCACCACCGCCACCACTGGGGTATCCACCACCACCGCCACCACTGGGGTATCCACCGCCGCCGCC